CACACACACACACACACACACACACACACACGCACACACACACACACACACACACACACAGTCATATTAAAAATTCTTCTGTAGAATATGCGGTCATTAGCCCCGTAGTTCACAACAACATCTCTGTGTAAAACCTCTGAAGTATTGCAAAAATGAACAACGGTTAAAGTTCTGAAGTCTTCAGTAAGTACTGGGGTGACATACAGAGCCTGCATCACTGTTGTCATGGAAACCAAGCAGATGACCAGATGTGTATGGGTCCAGTGAGGTATTGCAAGGAGGAGGACCCCTTGATGTCTGATCAGGACGCCTGATGTAATTTGGGGGCTGGTGATCTTTAATCCTTGCCAACGTCAGACATTAATGGGAAATCTTACCTGTCCTTCACTCTGTCGCTCCCATATATTGTAAGTTCCTTCCATGCACATATGCACCATTGCTTCATAAGGACAGTGAAACTGCATTTGTTGAGAAAATCGATATTGAGAAAATTGGGAGAACATGAAGATAAAAAAGAAGAAAGCAGAAGTAGTGAAGGCCGGAGGTTAAGAGGGGAAACCAGCTTCTCTCTGAGGAATCCGGAAACACAGCCACAGTCGCAGAGCGCAGCGTTATCAGGATGATGAGGAACTGACAGAGCAGCGGGTGAGTCATTCTAATTCCACCATTTCCATTAAAAAAAACATAATCTGAATTAAATATTCAACTGAACAGTATAGTTTAAAAATATATTGTCGCTTAATTAAAAAATCTTCCAAATGTTATCCTCATGCTGTACTGGTTTCATCCAGTACTCTTCTGTCATAGAAAAACGAAAACACAAGTATGGGAATGAGATCCTTGGGATGAATTAGCATCCTTTCCGGGGGGGACCCCCTGGCTCATGCCCCGTGCTGCTCGCGGACCGAAATGTTTATGGAAAGATCCTTAACACTTACAAGTTTAAGTGGCAAACTGAAATTAGTCTGAGTTGTATTGCTAAATTTGGGAGAAATGTGTGAGAAAACACACTACTTAAATATTTAAAGAAATATTTACATGCCAATCATATCTTTATATATTTAGAAAAAAACCCTGGGGGCAGAGAAGGAGGTCAGGGTCGTTCGTGGGAACGTGGGAACACATCAGAGACACTATGGTTTTTTTGTGTGTTCAACAAACAAAACAAATTTGATTTTTATATACAGTAAAAGCAGGTGTGGAAATGGGTGCAGTATACAGGGAATGGGTATAGCTACCAACTGGGTGCGATGAAACTGCTAGAGGCAGTTTTATTTTTTGCAATGGTGAGTTTTTGTGCAGGTGTGAATGTGTTTTTGCGTAATGGCATGAGTTTTTGCGTAGGTGTGAATGTGTGTGGGAGTGCTGTGCGTGCCTCACGGAGGCCTGCATCTGTTGTTTTCCCAGGATTTCCCAGAATATGAATTAACTAATAATAATACAAAAGCAGCGACATGAGCAAAGTATCCTTATTCTGTGTCTGAAGCTCTTGGGTTTCTGGAATAACTAGCTTGTGGGGATAGTCTGGGAGCCACAGTCCCTCCGAGAGGTCAGGGAAGGCATATATACTTTCCATTTCCTTCCCTTTCTTCTTGACCGTCATCCCAACATGGGCTTTGAGACCAGCTGTGGAAGGCTGGCCGCCCCCCTAGTCGAGGCAATCATCTGTTGGTAACTGCATCCTGTCGACAGTCGTGGTGGCAAAGGAAACCACAGTCAATGCCAGCGATGCGCGGTGCTAATCGCCCCCTGCGGGTGGGCAATGGATTTCCGGTGGAATGTTGAGTGCAAAAACCAAAATGAACAGTCAACGTGCGACACCGTGAAAGAGACATATTGCCTTTGTTTTTGCTTTTCAACTCAGTGTGGATTATAAGCTGCACTTGCGAGTCCCTCACTAATGAAATAACTAAAACTGCTTTTTGTGCTCTACCTGCATCATAAAATTGTCAGATATACAGAGAATTGAGTGAGGCGAAATCTTAAATCTGTCATTCAGTGTTGTTACATGTTTATGACCCTCTGGCAGAACTATGAACTCCTCATCTCCTTTTAAACTGCCCATTTTAACCTCCAAAGCTCAGACACAAGGACTCCCTAAGGGTAGAGATGTCACATCCTGAAGCTGCCTCCTGAAATAGCTGAAATATCTCAACCAAATGCCACTGAGGGTGGGAGAGTGTTTGTGTGGATACGTCACTGTTAGATACGCTCTAGCGTGTGTGAATCACATATGAGGTATACACATCAGGCACCAAAGCTTTCCCAAGATTTAATTTTGCAACCTACTGTAATGGCGTCACCCACTTCAATGAGCTGGTGATTGTCAAATGCAAGGAGCCAGTCGTGCATCTGATATGCTTGTAGCCTTCACCACATCCTGCTCACACCTCGAACATGGCAATAAGCTTCTCCTCCACTTACAGTCTCTCAAACGTTTCTGAAAATGCTGTAATATATTATCTGCAGTGTGATCAGCACTTACCATGTTAAGAACGGCTGTCACACAACTGTAACTCACTGTATTCATCTTACTTTGTTCTCCTGCTCTATCTGATGACCAGTGAGGGAAAAAATTACTTGTCCAAATATCTAACGTTCAATGCATAAAATTTTCAATTTTATTTGTATACTGCATTTTCACATTACATTGTCTCGAGCAGCAAGAGGAGACAGTGACAAGAAAACTCCACTGCAAACCTTGGGAGGAACCAGACTCAAAGGGGGAGTTTAGAGGCCGGCAGAGGAAGTCAAATCAAGAAAATGGCAAAAACCCAACTTGCACAGTCCAGTGGTGGCCTAACGGTTAGGGACACACACTTGTAATTGAAAGACTGCTGGTTCAAATCCTGACCAGCAAGGCACTGCTCCCCTGGTGCTGAATTAATGGCTCCCTGCTATGTCATGATGCCACATATGGGTCAAATGCAGATGACACATCTTGCCGTGTGTAATTGTGCAGGAGAGGCGGGTGACGGGAGGTAGGTGCTGGTGAAACAGGTTGCTTTAACTCGCCGGTACCCTGTAGCGCCAACAGCAACATAAAGCAGCCCATGTACAGCATAACCAGACCGTAACCCCTGTGGCTGGTGATTTCTGTCGCAATCAGGTGTGTGCAGATCCTTGGCAGCGGCTAAGCAAGGCAGAACTGAAGGCGAAGGTGTGGGAGTTGGGCATTCATGTGCATTTCTGGGGGTTTGCTTAGCAAAAATGTTGGTGGTCCCATAACACAGGTGATGGGAGCAGCTGAGGGATACACTGTACAGTATGTGTCACTCCACTGATTGCACTTTGCATAGTTAGCGCACGGCCTCGATTGGATATTTTGCAGCACCCGCAGACCAAAGAAGCGTCGCCTTCATTTTCTCTTTGGCTTTTTTCGAGCATTGAGGGCTTCGGCGGCTCGGGGTGGTCAAGGCCCTGTGTATCAATAGAACTTGTCAGTATTAGCGCATTTAGAAATGCGCTACACAGGGCGCATTTAGAAAAACCAGTTAAAAACCACAGGGCCGCACTCTAAGTGCAACGACGTCAATATACAGAATCTGTCACGGTTCCGGACGGTTCGGGCACGGGAACGAGGCATGGTGCACAAAAAGGGCAGACGACCCACTTGCGGCTCCAGGAAAACAAAACAGGGTTTATTCAAATGAAACAGAAAACACTATAAACACAATGAAACCAAAAGGACCACGAGGGGTCAAAACTAAAGGGGATAATTAAAGACTTAATATTACAAAACAAAAACTAGGAAGGAAAAAACAGGACACAGATCTAACCAAACTAACCAAGACAAGCAATAAGACACTCATAGACAATCATAGGCAATGAACCACTGGGGAACTGAACAGAAGCAGGAACTAAAATACTAATGGGGTAACAAGACTAACACAGGACAGGTGAGGCTAATTAACAAAGACCAGGGAAACAGGGCACAGGTGAAACTAATAAACTCAAAGGAACTAAAAACAGGGAAACTAAGAACTAACCAAGGGAACATAAACCAACACTAGGGAATTAAACAGGTAAAGACACAAGCAGGGGCACAAGGAACAAAACCAAAACCAACAACAAAATCAGACACAAGGACTAACGAAACTCAAATGAAACACTAGGGAGCAAAATACAAAAACAGAGGAGGCGGGATTCGAACACACGACAGAAGGGTACTCAGGACAAAAGGGTACTCAGGACAGAAGGGTATACAGACAACCACATGCTCAACACATCGAGCCACAAGACCAGGCAGGTAACAGAAGAGAACAAAGACTAACATGAAGGACGGGATGACCAGCAACACCTGCTGGTCAAACGGGGAAGGGACACGGTAGGACCACAGCAGGGGCTGACCCTGACAGAATCATTTCACTGCAAGGGATCATGGAGTGAGGAAATTACAATTCTTGTAACATTTTAAGCTAATGTCTGCAACAACTTTGAAAAAGATTTGAAGACTGATGTGAACCACAGCCACATTGACAGTGATTCAGATTAAAGTTAACATAATACGGAACTGATATTAACACGCACCACATGAAACACAACACTGTGCTGGCAATCTATAATATCTCGTAATATCTCATATTTGCTCGTAAGGGCAGCTGGAAACCATCACCGCCTGGCAAAAATTGCAGCAAGTTTTAGCTGTGGGAACGACAAACGGTGAAAAGGGAAAAGGAGGAATGGAATAATCAGAAAACAAACATAATGGGGATGGAATCCATTATGTGTGCCCTTCTAAATAATGTATTTGGATTCAGGAACATCCCCGGAGGCATAATGCGACATCTAGTTTTCAGCGCCCATGACTGAAGAGGGCTATCCCTGGATGTAGCCCATTCATGTACCAACTTTCAAACCCAACATCCATTAGGGGCATGGTGTGCAGCTCAGTGGATTAGGCTGGTGTTCTTATGATTAGAAGGTCGCTGGCTCAAATCCAGAGCGGTTTCACTATGGTTTCATAAGTTAGGCAAAACCTTCATCCCACAATTGCTGCATGGAAATGTCTGACCCCGCTTTCTCAAAAAATGTGCTCTGTGTCTGAGTAGAGTTTGCACACTGGTCAATCAGATCTGCTTTCAGTCATCAATGAGACAGGTTTATTTACAGTTTCTCTTTATCTTTGTCCACAGACCATGAACTTAAATGTGAGCCAGGGCAACCATTCTGCTAAGTGCATCCGGGACACGACAGTGACGTCCGTGGTCTTCCCGTGCCTCTACAGCATGCTCTTCCTGGCCGCTCTGGTGTTCAACTGCTTGGCCGCCTGGATCTTCTTCCAGATTCCAAGCTCTACCACCTTTGTGGTGTACCTGAAGAACGTGGTGGTGGCCGACCTCTTGATGACTCTCACTGTGCCCATCAAGGTTCTGGCTGACACAGGCTTGGGTTCATGGCAGGTGAAGTTCTTCTACTGTCGCTACTCGGCCGTGCTCTTCTACTCCTCCATGTACATCAGCATCCTGCTCCTGGGCCTCATCAGCCTGGACCGCTACCTGAAGATCGTGCGACCCTTCGGCAAGTGCGTCATGCAAAGGGCGATCTTCGGCAAAGTTCTGAGCGTGGCCGTGTGGGTGTTGATACTTTCGCTGGCGCTGCCAAACACCTTGCTGAGTGACCGACCGCCAACACCCTCCTCAAACCTCAAATGCAGCTCTCTCAAAGGCCCGGCCGGACTTTATTGGCACGAAGGCTACAATTACTTTTGTCAGGCACTGTTCTGGGGCACGCTGGCACTTATGGTGCTATGCTACACGTTCATCAGCCAGCGGGTATACGAATCATACGTGAGCTCCCGCAGCCGGTCCGACTCCGCCGCAAAGCGCACCAAGGCCCGGGTCTTCGTGGTAGTAGGCGTGTTCTTCGTCTGCTTTGCGCCCTTCCACTTCACCCGTGTGCCTTACACCCTCGGCCAGACCCGTGCCGCCCACACCTGCGCCGTGCAGCAACGCCTGTACGTTACCAAGGAGACCACTCTCTGGCTCTCCGCCACCAACATCTGCCTGGACCCACTCATCTACATCTTCCTGTGTGGAAGGTTCCGCAGGAAGCTGATTGGTGCCATGAGAGGAAAGTCCGCACCTATGGGTGTGACTGACTCCGCGACCGAGAGCGTCCCACGTCTGGAGATGTCAGTCATGTAGACAAAAAATAAAGCTTAGCTGGTACCTACATATTTCATAATCTTTCTTTGAAATAAATCTTTTATTTTTAATCAGAAGATCTGATGTATAATATATGATTATCACCTTCATTGCGGCCACCAACGTCACCATCACCAGCAGAAACAGCACATCATCCTCTCCATTGTCATCGCCATCATTCATCATCACCGTCATGAATGACGTCATGATGCAGGGGAAGGACTCTCCTTCCCAAACAGATGAAAGCTGAGCTGTCAGTATTGTGAGCCTGCGGGTGTCCAAGCTGACTCATTAAATATTCAGATACTGCTCTTACAGAAACATATCGAGCTGTTTAATTTGGACATTATCACATTTGATGAGTTATTTTCTAAACTTGGTTACATTTTTTGTATATTTGTAGCGTACTTTTTATGTGGCATACTATGCAATACAATTTTATTAAAAGATATCCTTAGGATGACTGTTGTCTTCTTCTTCGCAATGGCAATAATGAGACATTCAATGCTAATGCTGTCATTTGTGCATTGTGCCATCTTGGTAGCAGAATAAAACACTCAAAGGATTATGGGTCTGTGTGAGCCATCTGACAGACAAAAGACACATAATGTTATATGAAGCCTAAAGCAGTGAATTTAGATCAGATTTCCATGGCCATGACAAACAGGCATGTAAACACCAGCTCAATAGCTGGAGAACTAAAAAGCAAATTTACAAAAGCCACTCAGTTCACAGGATACGTTTTTGGTTCCAGATACTGAAACATATGGTGAGGAAGCCTGAGTTTAAGTCATTGGCAGATAATGTGACAGGATAATCCACGTCAGGGACGGCAGTTTGTGCTACTTCAGGTTTTACAAAACTCAAAGGTTCTTATTGTGCGTTGCCTGGTTTGATTCCTTGATTGAAAGACTCATCCAGCTGTTTCACATTAACATTAGCAACACACACATGATTATAGGAGACTGACCAATCAGCACACAGCAAGAAGTCAGTACTAAAGTGAAATTCAGGTCCTTTTAATTGAAATGGTAGCTTACAATCCCTGC